ATTAGTTTATGAAAAAAGGGGATTCCGATCAAGATTTTAATCTTTTAAATAAATGTTAGTAATATCCTTTACTTAAATAGAACAATTTTTATCAGAATGTTTTCTTTTTTAAATGTAAAGTACATTTAAAAAGCTTAAATTTTATGTACATTTATAAAATGTAAAGTTCCGGAACATTTATTTGAAACCCTTTCTATACTTTATGATTTATTTTGGATTTTCAATAATGGCATATAAAAACAAATATTATTGCCTATAGTATATATTTTTTTAATTTTTGAGAATGAGTATTTTATATTTAATATATATATATATATATCTTCAGTTAGGTCAAACTTGGGTTATTTCAATATTGTTATTATCAAAATCGTTCCAGGTTTTGACCAGATTTAATATCAATTTACAGATGTACAACTGTAAATTATAATTTTAAACAGATTTTTTATTTAAAGGTTGATTAATTTAACGTTGATGTCATTCTTTTACAATTGTGTTCAGTAAAGCCAGAATTGATAACAAAATTGTTTATTTTTGCTCACCAAAAAAATTTTCTATGAATCACCATTTCTATAAATTTAAATCATAATCTCTTCAGCCTATATTCCAATTATTTTAAGTTGGATCAACTTTACAATAAATTGATGGGATTTTCACAACCTCAATATGGTTAAGGGGTAATATGTGGGTCGTTGTTAATTTCAGTACACGAAATCTGTTGACTCAGTTTTTATAGAGTATGAGACTTTAAATTACTATTATTATTTTTTTGTTTAATGAAAATCATAAAAATTAAAAACCGCAGTAAAAAAAAACTTCATATGTATAGAGTAAACTGAGTAAAATGGTAAGTTGTCTTTTTTAATTTATTATTTGCGTTTCTTAAATTTTATAATGAATTTTATAGATTTCAATGTATTATGCTTTAATAAAAAAAATTGTAGGTAGTATATTTATAATAAATATCAATAAAGTAGTCACGATAAATGCATCTTACATTTTTATCGGTGCTCACTTTAATAACACACGTACGATTTTCATTATTTTGAAATTAGTTTTGATAAAATCTTTCCTGGCCACCCGTGTAGTGGGCAGTTTAGTTATATAACATAAAACTATTGAAATAATAATTATTCCTTGAGAAGTTTTTGCTCATTGGAGTTAAGTTTAAAAATAAGACGTGATTTAATTATTCGTCTAAAATCTGAATGATATATACTTTTATTAACTATTATCACACCTAAATGGCGCCAATTAGAAAATCGATAAAAATAGCTATTTAAAGGATTTTCTATTTAAAAACAGGTTTTCTTTTCAATGTAGCACTATCGTTTTTTAAATAACTCTATGATATACGTAGTGTTTTTTAATGTTAAATAAATCATTTAAGAAACAATCTAGCAATGTTTTATAAAAATTAAATAAATATCATGCTAAAACACAGTTATAAATCATTACAAACGGCTCATGAATTATTATTATTATTTTATTTTATTTTTGGTTTTCAACAATCATTAAATTAATAATAAAAATAGTGTCATATAAGATATATTTTAATAACACCACATAAATTAGAATTCACACTTTATTACAAAGGTAATGAATGAATACCAATGAGTTTTTATGTATTACCTTTTACTTTAAAATATTGCATAACTTGATTATGTATTACTCCGATTTACTCGAGAGAGTATTTAAAAACTTTTTTTCAGTACATTAAAATAAGTCTCAGGAGAGCAAACATCCGGAAGTACTCGGTGGTCACAGAATTATGACTAATATGTCAAATCAACCATGAAAAATTGGTAAACACCATCAGTATATCTATCGCATCTTTATTTTAAATAAATTAATCGAACCATTAAATAACTGTAGATAACCAGAGTTAAAAAAGCATACTTATCAATACTATTGTACATAATAAATTTAATTAAAAACATAGCTAACATAGTAAAAAGTAATGTTTTATTATTTGAAAATAATTATATTATATTTTTACATTAATATTCAACTAGCATTTTAATTGATATGTTCTGAAAATTAAAACCTAAAATAAATTTAAATTTGAGAATTTTTACATGAATTTTGAATATTAGATTATTTTATTTTAAAATTACAACAAAATTTATATTTTCATTTTTATATGATAAGGTAATAAAAAATGTCAATTTTTTAGCATTTATTACAAAGCGTTATTTGAAACAAGAAATATGGTTTACTCATTTAATAACACCCTAGCTATATAATGTATCTGAAATTAGAAATGGCTAATCAAATATTTCAAATAGTAGCTTATTAGAAGATAATTTTAAAATGTTCAACATTTTCTTCAAAAGTATTTTTATTTATTTCGTTTTAAATAGTATCCACTCACTGTTATGAGAGAGTGGCTCTAATAACAAAAATAAAAAATTTAATTTGCTTTAAAAATTATGTGATTTTATTTTCTAAGATTATTTTAGTTATTTTAAAGAGTATAAAAAATGATACATGAAAAATCTGTTTTCTATGGACAATTTCATACTCATTTTAAATTAGCCTAAAATACATTATTTAATATTTCATATTTATAACAAATTAATTTATTTATTTCTCAAAAAATTAAAAATACTTTAGAGATACTAGATGATCAGATAAATATTTTATATACCACATATGTTATTTGTTAGCCATTAAAATTATACATGAGATCTTGTTTTAATCATTAATTCTAAAATCGGTAATATTTGGATAAAATGAAAACACATCTCGTCTATAGAAAAATAAGTCAGTTAAGTTCAATTTTTAAGAAATTACAACATTTCGCTGTTAATGTGCATAGAATCAATATGGACATGATTTTTTTATAATTTGTAACAATTAGTAGTAAACAATAACTATTATTGTTGACTACTTCTATGGATGATTTTCAGTGAATGTTTGTATAATGAAATTGTCATACGAACAAGGTGCTTGAACTTATCTGCATCAAACTTGTTCATAATTATTGCATCTATTATTATAATAAAATCCATGTTTCCACTAATACTATTTAATGAATGACCTTACAAGTTTCAGTAATATATTCCAGTAGAATAGTTTATACGTATATGGCCGACCACCAGCAATGTTATTTATAAGAAAAACAAAACTAACATGATATTTACAAATGTTTATACGTATATTAAAAAAAAAAAATGCATGTTAATAGCTAGTAATACAGCTATTAACTAGTAAGTGTTACTGCAGCTACTTCTTATCAATTATGCAGTCCACTAACAGTGTATAATTTGCGTTGTGTAAGTTAAAATATTAAATTATAAGATATAATATTAGATATGATTCGAATAAATATGAACATACCTAATCATTAGGAACTTATTTATGTATAATGAAAAATAAAATCAATACTTCGTCTATTTCATATTATATTAATGTAAAACTATTATTTGAATCCAATAACAAAAATTTTTATTAATAAATTTAAAGTTATAAATTAATTGTTTAATTAAAGCATTTATTCATAACTAGTAAATTAATATAGACTAGCTAAAGTATCTTAATTGTACAAAAAAATCCTAAGTATTTGATTTTAAGTTGATTTTATTATTTTATGTTTAACTGTTCATGTTGTTACAATATTTTTCGTTAATTAAATAAAACATAATCAATGCGATTAAACAGTAAATTGAACGATAAGTATACACTCTAAACTTATAACCTATCATACTTATGTTAATAATAAAGATTATTCATAAAAAAAATATCACGACTTAGGCGGCTATAACAATTACATACTTTGAAAATTCAGCAATTATTATAGAATAAAAAAAAGTTAAAGGATTGAACCTCTGAAATAGTTAATTTATTAATAATTTTTATAATTTCTGTATTTATTGCTAACATATCTATTGTGATGAATTTTACTTCACTGAAAATTCATATTCTTATCAATATTTCCTTATACTTGATGTAAACTATCCCAATCACATTTTTCAAAAATGTGAATTAAAAAAGTTTACCTTTGGTGTAAAAATTTTTCACAAAGATATTAAGATCAATTTTATTAGTTAAATAACAATGATTAGTAACAAACAATACAAAAAATTTTTCACCACCAATATTTAAAAATTTAGCTCTTATAAGATAGTTTATGAGACGCCCTTTATAAGGTGTTACTTGTCTTGGCGGTTATGTTCATTAATTGTAACATATAAAGTATCTCATCAAATTATTGAACATCTAAAAATTTGTAAAACATCAAAATCATATAACAGATTTATTATTACAAATTAATTTTTAATGTCTGAATAAAAAAAATAATAATTTCATTCACACTTAAATTGTAATACTTTTTACGATATTAAATAAAAAAAACATACCAACTAGATTGAAATTAAGTTAAGGCGAGAAGACCATGTATTTGAACGGAATTTAGATTTTGTTTTAGATTTTATCATTTAACAATAATTCACGTATTACGAATTACCAAAATTACTAAAATTTTATAATAAAGAATAAATATTTAAAATAATACCGACGGTGTTGATTTATTGGGTGGTGTTTTGTAACACGACTAGTTACCCTAAGAAATTTAAAAAATGCAATATTAAATAATTAGTACACCGAATCTCTAAAATTGTTGGATGAAAATTATATATTTTCAAATTTTTGCCGATTATTAAATAAAAAAATTCTCTTTAATGCTTATCAATTTATTACAACAGTACAATTTAAATGATTAGTCGTCCTTCGACAAGTTTTATTCGGTGGCTTTACTGGTTGTGTGCTTGGTAATTTGGCAGTCATATGAATTTATATTGTACTTAAATCATGTGCGATTTCTATATGAGTAATTGTAATTGTAATCATCTAATATTTAAATTACTAGTAGAGAAGTTTTAGCTATAATAGATTTTAAGTTATGTTATTAAATTTTTTTTATTAGCATACACGTGATTTGGCTATAAAGAAATTTAGTGTGTGTTTTGATATTTTAATTAAAATTCAGCTCTTTTTGTTCAATAATAAATGCAAATTATCAACCACATACATTACAGTACAAAAAAAAAAGTACTAATATTAAAATGATGTATACTACCGTCAAATGCGTAAAGAAAATAAGTAATGACTAAATAACGCTTATATTAATAAATAAAAACTATATATATCTTTTAGAAAAAATATTTAAAATATATCAATTCAATTTTATTATATTTTCACATATAATTAGTAGTATAATTAGCATTTTGTTTAGTTGGATATATAAAAAAAATGAAAATCTCTCCAAACAAAAAAATATAACTTTATCATTTCAATTTGTATTTTCTGGGACATTTTATCTCCCACATTATTTAATTATGATTTTTTAATCATTTTATTAAAAATAAATAAATATATTCTACTTTTCCAAATAGTTAAAATTTTTATTTTTTAGGAATATAAAAAAACAATTAGTCCTTTAATTACATTAATAATTTTTTTAATATTATAGGTGTATAATAGAGTTTTTATCAATATATTATTACAATTCATGTCTGTGTTTATTCGCTAGTGCTAACAGTATCTAGGTAATGATGTCAATTTTTAGAGGAAAGTCGCCTATGTTGGACTACTACTTCATTAAGTAATTTAACAATCATAATTTTGAATAATTTACTCGGAAATTTTAAAAATAGCCGTAGTAATTCAATGTAAAAAGTTTTCACCTTTGCATTAACTTTATTTAAATTTCATGTATTAAAATTAATTAAAAATTTTGAAAGGTTTCAGTAAAATAATGTTATTAATGAAATTAAATACAAATGAATTAACATTACTCACTTATAGTTTTTTCAAAATTTATTATTATAAATAAGCATTAAATTTAATATAACATATTTAATTAGATATATATTGTAATATATAATACATTTTATTATAATTTATTTAAGACTCACTCAATGAAATATATAAAGTTAGTTACTTCTTTTTATAAACGTAGGCTGAGAACATGGACACTATGTAACAATAATTTAAATTTTAAAATCAATCAAATTTTATGTTTATATGAATTCTATCTTACAGACGATAAAAAGAACCATTTGTTAATTTAAATAATAATTTTATACACTCATGTTCTGTTATTTAAACTAAACTTTTTTATATTTAAAGTCTCAAAATATGCGATTATTAATATTTTTATTTCGAGTAGTGGTATAAACGATTTAAATTATTAAAAATGGAAAACCCAAAGTCCGTTTATAAGGTGATCTCATTAAAATTGTAAAAAAATATTTTCCCTTTCCTGTCATCAGATTGGAAAATTTAACACTATTTTAACAATCTTAAATTCTCATGGCTTATCTTAATTTTTGAAATTAAAATAATATTTATAATTATAATTTATTAATTATACCGACAGAGGTCGTAGCTGATTAATATATCACTTATTTTTATTAGGTACATTGAAATTAATCATTCAGTATAATACATTAAGAAAAGTCACAGCACTTTTGTAATTAAACACATAACTATTGTGTACTACGTTGTATTAAAGCTTACATTTTACGAAATCTATAAGATAAAGTGCCAGCTTGTTCTTAGGCGTAAAAAATTACATTGTATTTTAAACAATATCGTACTGTAGCTAGAATAATCAATATGGAATCATCCAAAAAAGGTTAGTTTGACTTATTTGATCTATAAAGCGTTTAATAAACACTAGTTCAGCTTAAGGTAATTGATTTATGATTGATGTTAGTCCAGGGTTGTCATTCCTTTTTTAATCAACTCTTAAAGAAGCCACTGTAGTGGCCTATTATATTATTTACTATACAGAGTTTTCATTCAAAAAGTTCGAATGTGTATAGATACTTAGTCTTTTAGAATGAAGAGGTTATCGAAAATATTGGCAATTAAATATAATCTGGTGAAAAAAACTTATCTAACAAAGTGTTATATAAATTTTCTGGGACATTAAAAGATCAAAGTGAGCGCTTATCCGTCTTATCACCCTCAATTATTAATATATGTATTAATCATATATTGGAAATTTACACTCGAATTGTAGCATGTTCATTTAGCTTATGAAATTTTTATTTAAAACTAAAAAAAAACTATAATTGATTATGTTATAAATTAATTTAAAATATACATAACTTGCACTGCCGTGAATAGTAAGAATAATGCGTTTGATTATAAAAGTAATATAATAAGACAAATAGAAATGTAAAATAAAAAAAAAATTATTTTTAGATTATTTTAGTTTAAAAATAACATGCTAGACAATTATGTATTAAATATTAATTTAATGTAGTCATATGCTTTTTAGAATATTAGCAAAATTTGAAAATAAAAAAAATTATGATACAATTTTTAAGTTCACCCGGGTACATTGGTTAATCAAAAAAAATAAATCATCGGTAATAATAATGTTTGAAATAAAAAATAAAAATATACTTCGTAGTAATCCTGTCATTTTATAAAGAGTTATTGTGGTTCAGAATGATTCTCTAATGGTGATTTTAAATAACAAACTTATTTTTCAGAAACTTTTAAAATATTGCAGTTTTTGTAATGAGAAAATAACTTGACACAAAAAACTCTACAATAAAATGTAGAAAAAATTATTATAAATTTATTTATATCCCTTCACTGATACAAAAGCTTAAATTTAATTTCCTGGTACCTCTGTTTATAATTTGATAATACGATAGAGAAAAAATTATAAAGAATATTTTTCATACAATTATAATCATTCGATCGACCGTTTAAATTTTAAAATTATTTAAATATTTGGATTTTAAATAAAAATTTATTATTGATTTGACTTTTTTTAATAATGGAAGCAGCAATAATCTGTCTCAATTGGCCATAAATTATTTTTTATCGTAGTTATCAATAAAAATTTTCCGTATCGGTAACCAACAGTATACGATATTAAACTTGCGTTGAATAAAAAAGTGTAGCTATAAATAAAAATGATATTATTAAGTATAATATTTTCATGTTAGATTATTTTTTAGACAGAAAAAACTAGTTTGTGTAATAAATCTAGAAATGAAGACAGACGAACTATAACAAAAGTTATAAGAATAAATTTGTTTATAATTTTTTTTTCTATCATATTATCAAGTTAAAAACAGGGATTACTATTTAAAGAAAATAAATTTATGATTTTTCATAAGAATATATAATATAAAATATAATTTGTCTTCATAATACTACAGAGTATTTTAAGCCAATTAATTTTTCATTTTACTAAAATTAAGATCTTTCAAATGTTTCTGAAAAAATTATTGTCTTACTTAAATTTGATCACTCTGGAAAAAGTGAAGCTATAATTATCAATTTTAATTTTTTGAGACATTCCCTTTTATTACGGAGATTAATAATAATTTTTTTATTTCCATACAATTAATGATAAATTTATTTTTATATTTGAATTAAATTCCTATATATATAAGCATAGATATTCACCGAGAAAAATAGGATCAAATGGTTAATTGATAAATATTAAGTAATTGATTATATACTTAAAATAGAATCGTTAAATGTAGAATTTTTATTCATGTCGTTAAATAATTAATTAATTGTAATGATATAACAAATGATGTGATTGATTTTTAAATTTCAATTAGTAATTTATTGTTAAAGCAATAAAATACAGTAGTTAAAAAGAAATTACTTGTATGTCGAAATCGCTTCCAAACATTCATTGAAAGTCATAATTTACATTCGACATTTTACATGTTCAAAGTATTTATAGAATAATCAAATATTTTTAGTTAATTTTTATAATTTTAGTGCAATGGAATCTAAACTTGGTAAGTTCTATAACACAAATTATCAACATTCAATACAATTTATATGATATTTATAGATATTGTTAATAATTATAAAATAAAATTAAGTTTTTTTAAATTTGTTTTTTTATTCCATTAAAGACCATTGTAATATCTTCCAAAAGAGTGGAATTAAAATTAAAATAAAATAAAATAATTTCATGTATTAAAATATATATGGAGAGTTTCAGTTCTCAAAAATTTTTTAAACGTTTTTCATTGCGCATGTGTTGTATTTATGTACACCTATTCACATGTTAGGCTACTAAAAATGAAAAAGTACTAACCCAAAATAGATTATTTTCCAGCAGATTTTTTTTAAAAATAAATTGATCATACAGTTACATAGAATTATTTATTGTTTATTGTTTAATTAATATAATGATTTCATTAAAAGATGCGCAATTTATAATTACTTTTATGTATATAAATTGGGCCTCATGATCATTTTAAAATTTTGTTACAGTTTTACTTTCTCGTAACAGTAGTTCGAATTTTTTTGCTATGTCGGATGATGGTTTTGTAGTAATGCCCACTAAAAAGCATACGGCATCTGTAAGTTTATATGTTTTTAAATAATTACTTTTTCATATATTAATTTTTTTTCTATATTTCAGATTATATTTTTACATGGACTTGGTGAGAACGGGTATGTGTATTATTTTATGTATTACAATACATTTTTTCAGTTTGAACATAACATAATAGTATTTCCAATTGTTGCGAACTTTTTTTCTATTTCAATTCATTTTTATTGGTTAATAAATATAATAACTATAAGAATAAAACTTTCTATAATTATTCCAGAAAAAAATTAATTTTAATTTTAATTTTAATAGCAATTAAACTTATCATAATTTTTAAAAACATTTTTTTTTTTTTGGAAAAATTAGCTTAAATTGTTTTGTTGTGGTTTTTATTTTAAGAAAGCTTGAATTCTTTGAGTCAACTGTACCATATAATAATTTAAAGTGATATTCTTATATATATAAGAATAAATAAAATTACCTTAAGTAATAGAAAAGATAGTTTTTTAGAAATATTTTTATTGATAAATTTCAAATAAAGTTAAAAATTATTTGTAATGTTTATTATGTCAGTTTTAATGTAATTTTATTTTAGTTTTATAAAAATATTCTCCAGTTTATCATTTTATAAGGTATAATATGCTCACAGTTGGACTGAACTGTCTGAAAAATACTATTGAGATGCTCAGGGATGTTTAAATGATAATATAAAAAAATTCATCATTTTATCATTTTTTTATATTGAAATTTGTACCTATCCTTTATTATAAGGATTTAACCAAAATTATATATTTTGTGTTTACTACTTGATAGTTGAAACGTTAGCAATATTATTATGTTATACGTTTTAAGTAATTAAACTGTTATGAATTTATAATATTTTCCCTTTTGTGGTGTTCATACAATATTAATTTTTTATATTTTATGATTTCAATAATTTTTTGATTTCTCTAACGTTATAAGGTCTTAAAAACAGTTTAAAGATTTGAATGCAACCAATACTATGAAATTAAACTAATAATTTAAATTTATTATGAGATAATAATTCACAAATCTTAGAAGAAATAAAAAAAAGGTGGTAAATTATTCCTCTAGTAACCTGTAAAGGTTATTTAATTATTTTTTCATACTGGAGAGTCGAACCGAATTTGTTATATTTATTTACACCCGATTGACGTATAAAAACTCTGTAACATTTAATGAGTACTTAATAAATTTATTAAGTTTTTCTAGTTAGATAAAATCATGACTTTTACATATTATTAAACTTAATAAAATTTTATCAATAATTTATTATTAAGTAGGCATATTTTAATGTTTATATACTTATTTGTTTTTGAAAACATAAGTCTTAAGACCAGTTTAAACATAAATTGAAAACTGTATAACCAAACTTATGAAATAATATTGAATTTAAATATAATAATAAATCTACTTTGAATTACTTTATCTTACTTTTGTTAAAAATAAAAAAAACTATTAACTTTATTTGAAGATTGAGCATATTTAGTATTTAATTGAATTAATATTTAGTAAATTAGAATAGATGAATAATGTACTTTTAATTACATAACAATAATATTAATATGTTTTGTTTTTAGAGAAAATTGGTCCATAACTCTGTCTAAGTTAGTCAAACCAAATGTCAAAATTATATGTCCGAACTCGTAAGTATTTCTCAAAAATGAAGTAAGAAATTCGTGAGAATATATTGAATTGTTTCAATGCTAGTAATAATAATATATGACAAAAGTAGAATTTAATTTGGAAGTTAGAAATAATAAGAAATTTGTTACAAATATCTAATATCATATAACAAAATCACGGGGAAATTATTTTTATTTTGGCTGGACAGGTGAACTGGTTTTTCAAGTAAAATACTGAATGTCAATGTCAGGAAATAGTAAAAATTAATGCCTAAATATATATTCATTTTATTTTTAGATTATAGATTGTTAAAATTCTTTCACGAGAAAAGATTTTAAATGTTGATTTTTAGATTAAACATATTTGAAATAACAACGCGTTTGCTACAGACTTAACTGGTTTTAATTGTTCACATCGACTTATAGTTTTTTGGCCAACTGCATTGATACGTTATTATAGAATAACACTAATGCTCATTATGATAAAATTGTAAACTCCAACAAAACTGATAAACCACATCTAGCAAACTCCGACAAATATGAAATTTCCTAAAAATTCTATTATTGATGATTGACACATAAACAATTGGCGTTTAGAAGAATTTAAGGGTTTTAATAAAGTAATAAAAATTTGAGGGAAGTAAAAAAATATAATTGTGTTCACGTACTTAAATTACACGATATGAGAATTATAATTTAGTTTATAGTTTGAAATGAGTATTATTATACGTGTATAATGTATTAATAAGGAAAACTACATTTGTGTAAATAACAGTTGTAATAATAAAATAGTAGTAGAGTAAATAATAATATCGAAATTTAGTACCAGGAAATTATGTCACTTTCGAAGATTTCTATGAACTATGTATTAAATAAAATAATTTTTATACTAAAAGTAATACTAATTTATATGTATCTAATTTGAAAATAAATAGCATTGTAGTATTTTGAAAAAAAAAAAATTATATTAGTGAAAAATGTGATCAGTTTTACATCCTTCTATTTCTCGAACTTAACATACTACAGAGGGCGTTGGCCCTTTTTCACATGTTAGGAAGTTAAAGATGGTTATTGGCTATTTGTGTTTGTCAGTGTTTAACGGGGTATTATGACAGTCTTGTACCAAAAACCAGACACCACCAATGAGAAAATCACAAGAAAAATCTCGTTGGCACCTTGGGGATCGAACCCGAGACCTTGTGCGCTGAAACATACGTTTCTAACCACTAAACAAGGCCAACCCCTAAAAATATTTTAGAATTAAAAAAAAAGTTTATTTTGTTTTTTAGGACAAAAATACCTTTATCCCTGAATAAAGGCTTTCTGACAGCAGCTTGGTTTGATCTACATCATTTAGACGAACATATTCCAGAAGATGAGACTAGTATTGTACGAGCTATGGATTATTTACACGGCATTATAGATGATGAATTAGCGGCCAGTAAAATACCTGCTAACAAAATAATTCTAGGAGGATTTTCTCAAGGTGGAGCGCTTGCATTATATTCTTCATTATTTTATCCAAAACGTCTTGGTGGTATCCTAATTATGTCGAGTTGGGTTCCTCTTCACAAAACAATTCATGGAGTAAGCTTATATTTCTAGATTGTAATCGTACATAGTGAGACATTTTTTTATAACTTTGTTTTTTTTTTTTTGAGGTAGGATATTTTAAAATATGTGGAGGATTCCATATATATACAGGGTGGCCCACCACTCACTGACAACTTAAATAACTTTTGATCCAGTTAATATTTTTAGCTGATTTTTTTTTTTAAATAATAGTTATACGTTAGGTCTATAGCTATATCTCAATAATTAATTTTTTTACATTTTATTAAAAATATTAATTATTTTTAAATTTTAAATAAAATGTAAAAAAAAAATCTAAGATAGCTATTTTGTAGAGTAGAATTTAAGAAAAATTTTAGTAAAAAAATATCTTATTAATATTCAGTAGTAAATATTCTGTAGCGTTTTGAAGTTTGTGAAAATTTGAATTTTCATGTACTATTTTACGGTATTAAACATTGAAATACGTATTGAGAAAAGGACAGAAGAAAACGCTATCTTTTCATGATTACTGTGTATACATATGATGATAGTGTGTATACATTACAAACTTGGCATTAATACCATGATAAGAAATTAGATAAGGCAATTATTACTTATCACTCTCATTCAAAAGTATATTGAAAAGATAGCGTTTTCTTCTGTCCTTTTCTCAATACGTATTTCAATGTTTAATACCGTAAAATAGTACATGAAAATTCAAATTTTCACAAACTTCAAAACGCTACAGAATATTTACTACTGAATATTAATAAGATATTTTTTTACTAAAATTTTTCTTAAATTCTACTCTACAAAACAGCTATCTTAGATTTTTTTTTTACATTTTATTTAAAATTAAAAAATAATTAATTTTTTTACATTTTATTAAAAAAATTAATTATTGAGATATAGCTATAGACCTAACGTATAACTATTATTTAAAAAAAAAAAATCAGCTATAAATATTAACTGGATCAAAAGTTATTTAAGTTATCAGTGAGTGGTGGGCCACCCTGTATATATAAATTTTATGTAAACATTAAATAATTTATATAAAAATAGTATTTATAGTTGTAATTCGGGGACAGCTTATAAATTTAGACTTGACATAAATTCAAGTTAGACTTGTTCTACCCTACATAAATGTACTTCAAAAAATTATTCTTTCTTTTTTTCAAAAATCAAAAAGATTATAAAATTGAAAATAAAAGGTTAGGAATTTCAATATAAATTTAGGATGTTTTTTACTACGATACCTATTTTCACAGAGAAGATAAGGTTTCCAAACAAATTTTATTTTTTAACTTGAAATACTTAGCATAAGCTTTAATTTAATTTATGTTTAAGAAATGCATTTTTTCCGAATTATTTTCAAAAGTTAAGCTGAAAAAGATTAAAAAAGATAAAAGTTGCTGTTTTGAACTTCTCTTGAAGGTTAATAAAGAATTGGTTATCATAAAAAAAATTTACAACAAAAAGAATAATATCTAAGGTACTTCCAAAAAATGTTAACTTTGTTTTATTTCTTCTTCTTCTTCTTCCTCGCCTTAATCCCAACTACTTGGAGTTGGATACCCTTATCTTAAACTTTAACTTGACACGATCTCCCACATCATCTAGTAGAATTTACCTTTCAGCCTCATTGGAATTCTTTTATCGCATAAGATGCCAGACGTTTCTCTCCAGTTTAATCACCCGCACTTAATTCTGTGTCTTACATCCTCGTCAATACCACCACTCTTTTGCATAACAGGATCTAAATATTTAAAACTCTCCACCTCTCTAATCACGTCTTCGCCTATTGTTATTGACCTCCTCGTTTCACCTACCTCGTGTTCTCCTTTGTCAAAGTCGTACTCTATATACTCTGTCTTACTTCTACTTATTCTTAAATCCTTTTCTTCAAGAGCTTATCTCCACACCTCTAGCCATTGATTAATATCTTCCCAATTTTCTCCTATTAATACTATATCGACAGCAAACAACATGCACCACGGTACCTCTTCTTGTATTTCTCTAGTAATTTTATCTATCGTTATAGAAAATAAGTAAGAGTTTAAAACTAATCCTTGGTATACTTCTACTCCTACTCTAAGTTATTCTGTTGCTTCGCCAACACTCTAACCCTGGTACAAGTGCCATCATACATATCTTCTATTATATTAATGTACCTTTTTGGGACTTCTATTCTCATTAATTCCCACTTTAAAACCTCTCTCGGTACTCCATCATATCCTTTCTCCAAATCTATAAATACCATACAAAGCTTTTTCTTTTTTTCCCTAAACTTTTCTATTAGTTGCCTCACACAAAATAATGGCTCTCCTTTGTTGACCTACCAGGTATAAATCCTAACTACTTTTTAGATACCGATGTCTCATTTCTTATTTTCTAATCTATTACTTTTTTTTAATTTTTCATACTATGACTTATAAGCTTTATGCCTCTATAAATTCCACACTCCTGTATGTCACCTTTACCTTTAAATATCGACACCACAATACTATTCCTCCATTCATTTGGTATTTTCCCTTCTAATAAGATTTTATTTAAAAGTTCCTTCAACCACCTTATGCCAACACCGCCTAATATTTTCCATACTTCTACTGGCACTTCATCTGGTCCTACTGCTTTATTCTTTTTTTTTTCATTGATGTCACAACCTCCCATACCTCTTTCTCACTAATTAAATCTACCAGTCCCTCATTCCATGAGATATCCTCTAATGTCTCTTTTGGGTACTCCACATTAAATAATTTTTCAAAATACTCTTTCCACCTTTTTTTCACATCATCACTCGAGAGTACCTTATTATCAACACTTTTTATACACCTTATATAATGGTAATCTTTGGACCTTTTCTCTCTTATCTTTGCAAGTCTATAGATTTCTTTCTCGCCTTCCTCTATTCCTAGCCTATCATACAACTCATCATACCTCTTAAACTTCGCCATACTTACTGCAAACTTGGCTTCTTTGCACAAGCGTTTATACTCCATCCAATCTTCTCTTTTTTTGTTCTTCAGTCATACTTAGAATTGATTTTTCTTACTTTCTATGATTTTTTGAACGTCCTACTCTCACCAACAATCTCCTTTGCAGTATTCTTTACACAATTAGCAAATCTATTCTCACATCATTTATGTCTCCCTCAACATTCCACACCGTTCTCTCTTTTACCATCTCTACAAACTCTTTTTCCTTTTCCCCTTTCAATTTCCACCACCGGATCTTCGATTTTCCCCCCGTGTTCCTTCTATTTTTGTATATTCTCTTTCTGGTACACCAAATCTCCTTGACCATCAGTATATGTTGTGTTGTTACACTCTCGCCTAGTACAATTTTACAATCTTTTACTCGCTTTACGCTCTCTCTCTTTTCTACATAAAATAATCAATCTGTGATCTATTCCTTTCACTCTTATAAGTTATATAATGTATTCTCTCTTTCTAAAATAAGTATTAAGCACAGCACGATCATACGATACTGCGAAATCCAGGATTCTTTTTCTAGACTCATTCTTTCCATTAAAACCATACCCTCTATACACTCTTTCATATCCTCTCCTCTCATTACCTAAATGTCCATTCATATCTCCAACTATCACCCAACCCACCGCATCCCCATTTCCAGGTACTCCTTGCATCACTTCATCCATCTCTCACCAAAACACTTCCTTGTCTATTTCATCACATCCCACTTGTGGTGCATAGGCACTTATTACATTCAGCACTTTTTCTTCAAATATCAATTTTACGACAATAATTCTATCACTTTTACTAGCTACTTCTACTAATTTACTTTTCATCTTCTCATCCATTATTATCCCTACACCATTTTTTGTACTAGACTTACCTGAGTATATTATTTCATAATAAATAAATTAATAAATTATAAATTTTATTTTACTTTGTTTTATTTATTTTAAAAAAAGTTATAGCAATTTTAAACTGCTATAAAATTAAAATAATAATAAAGAAGCTACAAATTATTAAAAATATTAATATATTCAATAATTATTTTTACCATAAGTAAAAACTTTAAATTAAATTATTTATTTAGGAAGCTAGTAATAATACAAATATTCCAATATTACATTGTCACGGGACGGATGATCCTATTATTCCTTATAAGTGGGGAAAGATAACAGCTGATATTATGAACGAAATGAACCCGAAGTATAATTTTGTGTCCTATGAAGGTTTGAAACATCATACCAATGAAGAGGTAAATACTTAACTATGAATATCTATATCCAAACAGGCAAGGATACAAGAGGACCATGGGTACAATAACTCCCCATAGTCAGAAATTTTTCTTAAAAAAACAGCCCTAATATTGAAAAGTAGCTCTTATTTTAATAGAAATAGTAAAATGGCATTTCCCAAAAATAATCTTTTGGATCAGTGCCTGTATTCAAACGAACACTTACTTCCTCGACTATTTTTTACCATTAACTGTGAATTTTTTTTAAATTTTCTCATAGAATTCTCAATTAATAAACATAAACATAAAAATATTATAAAATATCAAATATAAACTCAAACAAAACAAAAAACTAAACAGAAAACATATTAATGATTTGTTATAACATATAAGGTACAATGAATTTAGGGAAAATACAACAAAGAGCAAGAAGCCACTGTTTCTTAACATAAAAATTCTGTGAGAGAAATTCTCACATCCAAATTATAACAATTTAATTGCTAGTATGGTAAACAAATTATCGATTAATGTTAAATACCGATATACACAATTTATAAAAAATAATAAACGTTTCTATACGATAAACTTAAAACATCATAAATAATTAATATTGTCTAAATACTGTATAATGAAAAATATTATAATGTTTTAATTATTTAAAACGTATAACGTAATTATATTATTAACATTTTAACTATCATAAAGTAAAAACAAAATAAGTAACTTTGAGTCAAATCTTGAAAAAATATGGTAATTTAATAAATTTACTTACTCTTACAAAATACATAAATTTATAAAAGGCCTACTAATGTGTGCTTTTTTTATAGGAACTTCAAGAAGTTAAGAACTTTATCAACAAAGTATTGCCATAAATATAGTTTTATTCTTTTAAGATAATTTTAATGTATACTATGTATATGTATTACATATTATGTAAACTATTGATCTTCGTGACACTTTTAGTCCAAAACATTTCAGTATAAAGTAATATTTGACTAAAATTATGGGGAAGGCCGTATTATGAGATAGATTATTTTTTGTTTGGGTGTCATTAAGATTAAATAATTAAGATAAATTAAACTTATGTTTATTAAAAGATGATTAAAAATAAAGCGTGAAATAATACAAGGAGCTAAGCCGATAGACGGTACTTGTTTTTTTATATAAAAATTGAATTGTAATTATTAGCATTACTAATAAAAAATATTATAAATACATATCTCTAAATCACAAACAAATATTTTTATTTTCACATTTCTATATTATTTTCAATCGAAGATTTATTTAACATACTTGGAATACGGTACTTAACTTATAAAATATAGTTAAAATTTATTAATAATTTTAATCAATAGTTTTAATTTTAATTAAAAGTTCACAGTCAGTTGTATAAATCACGGAGTGTGGTTACAATTCGTAGTTTTAAAGTTACCCAGTTATTATGTAAAATTGATAGCATGAAACTTAAGCTTTTGAAAAACAGCCTCATAGTCCATTGATTAAATAAAAATAATTATTAAATATTTACATTAGACCTTAAAACAAATATAAAATAAAAAGGATATAGGAATTATATTGATGTATAGTAAATGAGATAGCACAGTTATGATTTACATAGTTTTGCTTGCAAACAAAACTTAAAAAATAATACACTGATTAGCTAAGGAGTCGTTAGTCAACTATGTACACTAAGCGATAATTTTAACGGACAAAAATATATTATTAAAATAATATAGTATTCCAAAAGTTAACTCTTTTCCTAGTCTATTTTATAGTTTTATTTTCAAAACATTTTGTTGTTATATGTTTTAGCACTGCACGACACTTATTCCTTTCATAATGTATGATGCGAAAAGATAATAATTAATACTGTGTTTAGTGTTATTGGTCATTATTCATAAATAGTATTACTCGCGTGTGTGCTGTGAGTTAAGCGTGAAAAATATCCGGAATAGTTGATTACGAGTATCGCTACCTGTGGCGATGAAACCGATTTCGGAAGTGTCTTTTGTTAATTAAGTGTTTCATATTTATACTCAATAGATTTATTTTTATCTACATCATAAAAAGAACCCGACCACCATGTGTCAGCTTGCATGTTGTCGTAACGACACTAAAAATAATAAGAATATTGATATTCACAGAAAACTTGATTTAATAATGTAAAAAGTTTTTTTTAATTTCTATGTGCTATCACTTTAATAAATCGAATTAAATTAATAACCAATTTCAATCGATGATCAAATTTACAATTGTAATAAATGAAGTTCAACTTTTTATTATAGTTCAAGAGAATTTTTTTGATATCATGTTAAAAATTGCTTATGATGACAGGAGTTTCACATATTTTCAAGAATTTATAAAATACTTTATTTTATTTGTAATCGCAGTAAATTACAGTAAACAAACTGCAATATTGTCGTGTACACACATCACATTTATTGATTTTTTATTTTAATATAATCATTACATTACATAATTTAATAAACAGAATCGTTTCACTAAATATTACAATTTTATGCTTAATTAATCAAATTAATATAATTATTATAATTAATGTCATGAATGGACTTTGATAAAAAATCTAGATAATAATATTTTTTGCCAAAAAGTTTTTTTTTAAATCTGGTTTACAAAACGGCCACTAAAATTTTTTTTTATATTTTCAGTAATTAAAAAAAATAGTTAGGTTTGGATATACATTTTTATTTGTTTAACTTCTTCATATTTATAGAGCATTAAGTTACTTGGAGTACAAAATCTCCAAAGTTCAAAAAATGAAAGTTGAAAATTTTAATATTCTTAGTTAAAAAAAAAATTATCCCTTTAGTAATAAATAAGTAATTTTTTTGCACATAAGCGTTTTTTCACGCCAATCGACGATTTTTCAATTAAAAAGGTTTCATTACGTTGAAAAATATTTATTCAAGTTTAAAACGGCATTGAACATTTTATAAATGTTGAACTACTTTTATATTTAATACTGTGTTTTTATATGTAGATTTTAGGGCAATTTAACAGAATTAGTTAAAGATTAAGTTTAGATAATGTATTACATATAAATAAATATCTGATAAAAATTGTATAAAACAATGACTTGTGTCATTTTAAGAATTTAAGATAGATTTTCTACTATCACAGATGTTTTTCTTTTTGCCCGACTTTCATTGCCTCTAGTGAGTAATGACAGTTGTCGGAAAACTTATAATTTGAAAATACCAATAAAAAAAACTCATTGGGCTAAGTTTCAAGAAAGGCCCCATATGCAGATTATAATAATTTTTTTTACATAAATATCTCATTAAAGTTCTTTTTGTCATTAATATGAAATTGGCGGTTAGGCATGTAATGATATTAGTCATGTCGTGGATGAAAAGACAAATGACAAATGATTATCGTTCACAAAGTGCCAATGACTGCTGTTAACCCTCCGCTAATTATTGTGAGTTTGCCATGTGAAATACTCTAGGGCTATAATACTACAATCCGTTTTCAAAATAATATGCCATAGAGGCCGCACATTAAACGCAGTCACACCCTCCTATTGATCACTCGACATGCGTACACACGAGCAACCACAATCCCTTCATCGTTTACCCGCATCAAACATATTTTTAATAGTATAATCATATACAAAGATTTGTTTCGGGTATTATTAGATGACATATTTTTTCATTTTACAATTTAAATATTAATGAGATTTGTTTCAAGAATCCCATTGGCATTCTTTGATGGGATTTTAAAAAAATCTTTTACATAGGTAAAAGTTGAAATATCTTTTTAAAAACGAAATCATTAAATGATGAATTTAAGGCAGCTATTTGTTTACTTTGTTTTGAAGCCAAAATGTTTAGTTTAAATTTTGGAATTGAAGCAATTCCAGTATTATTTCAGTTGAAAATTTTATGTGGTTGAAATTTATAAGTAGCCAGTAAATCTCCCAACAATTGAAAATGAAACTAGTTTATTAAAACTCATAGCTCTATCATCAGAAGTTTTTTCAGAAACACGAAGAGATAAACTCTGATGCTTACCTAAAAACTCATTTTTGACCAATCAGGATCTGCTTTCTTATTATTTCCAATAAAATATTTATTACTCAACAAAATTGTAATTAGCAAACTAGGCCCTGGTTACTTTAACAATATGGGTAAAAACTTTACTTTGAATAAATATTTAGACAGAAATACAAGCAAAATCCATTTAGTTTTTGGCTAGGTATTTATTGTGAATGATAAAAAAAACACACATCACTTTTCTTTAGAAGTTAAATAAGGTCTTCGAAATGTTGTTTTTAGCCTTTATCGAAATCTTTAATTTTAACTATGTTGGCCAAGTGTCCTGGTCCAGTTTGCTATTTAGACCATACCAATTTGTTTTTAAAAAAACATTTAAACAATGCTTTGTAGATGAAATATGCAGATCTTCTATGGGGAAAGGAGAGGTCAGACGATTTTACACGTTATTAAATATTTTTTCCTCTCGACCATCGGGTAGATTTCTCTTTCTTTCTTTACCTGTGTAGAATACACGTATATAAATGCATCCTTATGTATGTCTTGCTGGGCCACCTATTTGTTTATCCTCATCACAGCCGCCGTCATGTTGTTCCGGGAAACAAGAGAAATGCGGTGAAGATGTGTCGCAGATACGAGTGAGCTGGAACCAGGCCAGCGCACCATGTTCTTCGTTCAGTTCTGCAGAGATATTATGTGCATGTGCGACTGTATGTGTCTCGTGTATTTCAACTGCGGCGGCATTGCCGGTTGACGACGAAGGAATGCGTGCGCAAAATAGACATTATGCCGCTGAGAGGTCGCAACCATCGCGAAAACTGTTTGAATCAACTTACATACGCTATCTAAACTAGTATAATGACAAAACAGTACATTTCTCTATCACTGTAGTCGGCGTTACTTTTCCTCAGTAATTAATTTTTTTATCGCACAAGAAGACCCGTCGTTTAAGTATGTGGAGCCATATGGAATTCAATCTAACCATTTCTATTAAAACTGAATTACGATTTTTATAATATAAATATAAATTCACATCATTATTTTGACAGAACTTTAAAATGTTTGAACTTGAAGATGCCATTATAATGTTTGATAAATTTGTCTGTCGACAATAAGAACAAATGATTGATTGAAATTCATTTTTTTGTGCAGATGATTTCTAATAAACTTCTACTATTATATACGGCGTATAATAATTGTAATATATAATTATAATAATTTACAATAATTGTATTATACGCTGTATTTGTTATGTTATAATTATTATAACATAACGATATTATAATTCAATTTATGTTTAATACATATTGATACTTCTAACATTAGACTCTTGATTTCTCTTAAAATAATCATTATGCTAAGAAAATTATTATTGTTACTAAGTTTATGGTATTTCTTCATTTATCAATAATTAAATACTTTTTTAGTTCATCTCTTATATCTTGAAAGAATGCTTGATTTGTTTCGATGAAAAGTTGAGAACATCCTGTTTTACAATGATGTGTTTTATTTAATAATTAAATAATTAAAATATTATTTTTGAGTAGCTAATTTGTTATCTGGGGAGCTTTGTTCTTTTTATCCCCTTTGTTGCGCTTATGGCCAAAATAATGTGGTTTCATTAGCGAAAACGGCCGTCAAAATAATAAAAGCCGCAATTTCTACAAATTTTATCATTTTAAATTATAGTAAAAATTAAAGTTATCTTAGTATTACGATTATTTATCGGTCCTAGCCGACTTCATCATAAGCAAGACCCGTGGAAAAAAATTATTTGGCGTATATTTGTTAGCTAAATACTTAATTTACTTAGACTTTATCATGGATGTATACTATATTACAATATATTGTAACCAGATATTTTTTGATTCAAAATAAAATAAAAATGATTATTACACTAGTTTTATAAAATTATATAGAGTGATTTAATAAGCATAAGAAAATCATTTTCTTGGAAACTATTAAAATTTTAATTTTTCGTAAGAGAAACATTGTTTGATTCAAAAAACTCTACAATAATATGTAGTTTGTTTAATTTGTTTCTTCCCTTCAGAGATAAAAAACTTTACATTTATTTAATGAAATTTCCTATTTTTAGTTTGATGAATTCGTTACGAATTTAAAAAAGGGCTTATCTCGAAAAATTGAAAAAAAACTGTAATTTTTTTTCCGCTCAAAATTTAATTTAAGGAAATTATTTACACTATACCGCAATGTTTTAAAGCTACTAAGTAAATACTACGTACTTTATAGAATGGTGTTATATTTTTTTCATTTTCAGTGTATGATGAATTCATATCAAAAATTAGTAGAACCATTTTTGAAATTCGCGATACAATTAAATTGTATTTATAAAATAATAAATAGAATCAATGAAAAAACTTTATTATGTATTATACAAGTATTATTGTGTAACTTAAAATTGTTTGATGTACATTTTTTATTTCTTAAATTTATTTCAATTCTTATAAAACTAAACTTTTTCATAAATATGAAAATACTCATATTTAATCTTTAAGTAATATAAAATAAGATATTATTTTATTTAAAATTATAATCAAATTTTATGATTTTCTATATTAAATATTTCAATAAAAAGTAATATATATATTTTTTTTTACATAAAAAATCATTATTTTATATATTTACTTGAAAAATATTAAGAATTTTAAAATGTATAAAATGAATGAAATTTAAAATGTATTTTATTTTTTACATATTTTTCAATACAGTTTAAAAACTTTTAGAGATATATTTTTTTTAATTTTTAACTAATTAGAAATTAAATATTTGATAATGATATTGAAATTCTTGCACTTCTCTGAATTCATTCCTCCATTTTTACTACCACCAATGCACTTTTAAATCAGGTCTGGCATTTTTGGCAAATTTTAAACTACAACTCTTTGCTATTCCTTTACAACTTTTTATCATATAATGAGGCATTCTGTTGCACATATAATCTGCCAATTCTTCTCTCAGCGTTTTATATGCTTCAACAGGATCTTTATTTATATTACAATCCTGACATTTATCGTACTTTTCGTTCAAAAATTCAACTATATTCTTATCGCCTCTTCTTTCATATACCGTAAGTATACAAGTTTTTTCTAATGAATATAATAATTGTAAATTATTAGTAATTATAATTTTTACTTAAAAATAATTTTGCTTTATATCCATAGAGTTATTTAGGTTTTCTTAAATGAATAACCGATGATTTAATAACATAGAACTTTAAAGTGAAAAACTAAAGTATGACATAATTAATGGTGTCTTGTAAAAAGTTAAATCTCCAATAGTATTTAATAAAACAAAAACATTTTAAATTTTTAAAATAAGAAATTAAACAACAATATTGACGAGTAAAAAGTAAATAATTACGATTTTGTCGAAATATATTTAAAAATCTAAGTACAATACGATTTGAATATAAATAATTGTGACAATTTTTTTTTTCTATTCAAAAATTTTTAATTGTACATTATAACTTGAAAATTTTAAAACAAATTTCTATGTAAAATTAAAAAAATTTCAAATTTTCATAAAAAAATTAGTTTTTTTAATTTTTTAAAATGTTAAAAAAAAACCAAGAACAGTAGGACCGCTGCACAGTTGGGACAAATAAAAATGTTATTTGACTGTGATTTAACTATTTATAATATAAAAAACGCTTCAATACGTATTTGTTAAATTCATAATTTCTAATAGTAGAACATTTGTGGAATGAAGTTTTTAATATTGTAATACACTACAAAAGCTTTAATTTGATATAAGTAAAAAGTTTCGGAAAATTTTCAAAAATTTAGTTGAAATAATTATTTTTATATGTGTGTGAAGTCTGTTTCAAACTCTCCATGTAATCGGATTTTTTTTTGATTTTTTAGATAGAATACCAAAGAAAACTTCTTGTTTATAGTAAACTTTATTAAAATTTCATTAAGATTAGTGTTTTGTAAAAAAGTTATAGAATTTTTAAATGCAAATTTTTTTTTTTTTACGGTATTTTTTAGATATTTTTTTAATTTATAAAGTTGAGGGTTTTTTTTTTTTTAATTTTCGTCGCTGAGAGTTTCAAGTATATTGAAATTTGATTCTCATGTATAAACCATGTACAAAAAGATTCATTTATTATGACTCACTTAATCAATCGAAAAATAAAAATAATTTTTTATTGAATCATTTTTGATCCAAGTTTTCTTCAATTTATCAATTATCGAGTATTTTTTAGGTTCATCCCTTATACCTTATAAAGGTATAAACTTAAATTGTGTCAAATTGAAACATTTATAATTAACTATTTTATTTATTAGTTAATGATCTAATTAAGAAAACGTCTGGTCGATAACAACTTTTGGACCAGTACTTCAGATGTTATTCTCATTTTCATACCCACGCGAAAGGAAGAATACGACGGGGAAATGACCAGTTATAAAATTAGCAGCACTCATTCTTCACCTATAGTTATGACTTTAAATATCAATAACTTCTGAAGTACTGGTCCAAAAATTTTTATCAATCAGTCATTTTTTAACTGGATCATTTTCTATTTTATAAGGTAGTTAATTTCTATGTTCCCATGTGACAAATTTAATATAATTAATAATATGAAATTTAATATAGAATATAATATATTAGCTTAAATAATATAATTAAAGATGAACATTGAAAATATTTCATGATTGATAAATTGAAAAAAATATGAAACTAAAAGTAATCAATAAAAAATTATCGAAACTATTTTTGTTTTTCGATCAATTAAGTGGATCATGATAAATAATCACTCCATATACCTTTTCAGCTTCTCATCAAAGCTAAAAACTGTGTTTTTAAAACTTAAGATGTGTATTTTTGCATTTAACGCGTTTTGTGGTTATTTGTTATTCTCTGTCAGATATTTACACTTATACCGATAATGATGGTTTTTTAACTTCATTTTTAAGATAATTAAACATAATATTTTCACACAAATCTTAGGAATTACTTACTATTATAATCATATTTCCCTGAGCGTATAACATACATACATTTTAATATTTTTTGGAATGGAACTGTCAATTTCTTGATATCCCCTGGAAAATCATTATTATTCATACACTGAAAAAAAGATATGTGTATTTAATGAAAAATTACAGTGCTACGCCACTATAAATTAATATAACAATTATTTATTTTTTTCACATTATTAATTCATATCACACAATAAAATAAATAAAATATGATTGTAAACAAAATAATTAATTTAATTCAATTTATTTACTAAACGGGTTAACAAAATTTGACATTTTAAACATTTATAAATAACATGTAGGTTAAAAAATGAAAAACCAATAATAATTATAATAATAATAATAGTCATAATAAGAGTTAAAGGTATATTTTGTGTACAATTTGCTGTGTATTTAAGTATTTACTTTAATGTTTAATTGTAATTCTTTGTTTTTAAATTACTGATAAGATAAATTGAATATATTAATGTTGTTTGGTACTTGGTTGATTGTGAAAGTAATTCGATTGACGATTGAATGTCGTATTTTTTTAATGTTTTTTTCTGGTACACATTAATAAAATTCCTTAAATATATCTAGTGCATATCTATCATGTCATTTATTAGTTTATAGAAAAATGAAAATTCAAGCATATATACAATGATAGAGCAAAGAAGGTGGTATACTATTAGGTTCAGGTCCTTTTGCTAAATTTATATTTATTAAAGTTTCGAATATGACTGATTTAAAATTAAGGCAGTGTTTAGAGAAAATAGTGTTTTTATGTGATGGGATGGAAGGATTATTTTGAGTTGTTATAGTGTAGATATATCTGAAAAATTTTACAAAAAGGTTAGTTGTTTTTTGTGAATTATTGCTATTTTTATCGTTGAATAAAACTGATTGTAGTGTTGTAGATTTTAAGTTTTTTTTCTTTTATATATTTCAAGAAGAATATTATGTTTGATAAAATGTTTTATTGCTTGATTAACATAATTCAAATACTTATTACGATGCTGTTGATGTAATTTTTGTTGGTTTTCCTGTTATCTTTGAATTCATAGTATGATAATTCAGATAGGTTTAATTTATTGATTTTGTGGAGTCTTTTTTTCTTTTTTACAGCATGTATAAGTTGATTATTGTACCAATTATGGAAAGAAATTTTATAGATTTTTATTTTAGGTACGTTAGTATTTATTATATTGTTTAAATGGTGATATTAACGTTATTGCTAATCTTTAAATTATTTAATATTGATTCCCATTACAATCCGAATGATTGTTCGAATATTTAATTGTCGTTTACTCTTTTGAAATTAAGTGTTTCAATGTATTGAGGTTGAGGATCGATTAAATGACTTTTAAAATCAATATGAAGTGTTGAATAGTACTTATGTGAAAAACGAATCAGCTTTCCCAACTATAATCTATTTTAAGTTAGAGAATACAAGTTCTAAAGTTTTATTGGCACTATTAGTTGTATTGTTGAACTGATGTAAGTAATTTTGATGCATATCATTAATAATCAAAGTGTTGTATTGTGGTGTAAAATTATTAATATGGAGTGGAATAAATGGCAATTATATTTAGTTATTTTACTTACTAATAATTTCACAAACAAGGTAGGTTAATCTTAGATAGCCAGTTATAAATAATCAATAATAGTAATAATATGATTAAATTATTTAAGGTATTTTATCTAAATAATTTTTCAGTTAATTTCCCATGACAATTAAAAAACATTCACTCAAGTGATGCATTACTATTAATTGACTGTTATTAATATTTTCAATTGATAATAAATATAACAACTTATTTTCTTAGTATTAAATATTTCGTGTATGATTTTTTCCTTATCTAAACGTGAATTCAGTTAAATTGTATGTTGAAAAACAAAAAAATATATAAATTGAAAATAATCTAATAATAGCATAAGAACAAAACTAATTAAACATAATAAAAAATTGACTGAACAAATTAAATTATAAAAATCTTTTAATCTAAATAAAATATAAACCAGAGGTCAAAGAAATTGCAATATAAATTCTTACATATAACAAATATAATGTAAATTAATGATAGGTATAAGATTAAAATTGTAATATTATTTTGTAAATTTTAACATTTATTACCTCAATATAAAATATTAAATTACATATAATACACGTTTCAATTATAATTTTTAAAAACATTTTTACTTGATTTTGATAGTAAACAATTTTAATTACTTTAAAAATTTAAATTTTCATATAATTTTTAATATATAACATTTGTACCTTTTTTTGTTATTATGGTTTCAATTATATAATAAAAAAAATTTGTATTTAGTACTTTATAAATAGAAAAATTATATTTTAAGTAAATTTGGAGTCAAAGTAAACAATGATAAGTTAGTGCTATTATTTGAAAAAAAAATATTTTTATGACCTCATCAATCATCAATTTTTTAAATAATTCAGTCACTCCATACATATTAATATTTCAATATACTAATTTTAATCATGTTTTTTTCGAATAATAATGAATATTTTTTATACCTATGTGGGGGAGGATTATTAAGGACAGAGAAAGGCGTAATAATAAAAAAAAATAACAACTAGCACCTCAACTCCAGTATATTTATAAAACTTTTAAGATACTTCAAAAGTTGTTATAATATCTTTTGAACCTATTAGGAAAGTTAATTTGAAAAATTGACTAGTAATTTTCTAAGTTCGATCATTTACGAGATATTTAAACAAATTACTTATAACTTTTGATCTTCTGAATATATTTTATTTCTTTTTTTTAAAAAATTTGGAGCTTAGAACCTAACGAAATCAAAAATAAAATTTCATTTTATTAAAGGAATAATTTTTAATTACCAAAAATTCTAAAAAGAAAATCAAGATAACCATATTATAGGGTCTATTATAAGAAATCATTTGGTAACATAATCTCGTATTAATGTTTTTTAGTAAAATTTCTAGAAAAGTTTAAAATTTGTAAGTATTTGAACTTTTTAGTGTTTATTTTACAGTATCAAATGCTAATCACAAAAGGATAGAAATAATATAATATTTACACATTAACTAAAGGTTATTGGTATAGAATTCTTTCCATTAAAATTGTCATTGCTTGATTGATTGTATGTAGCTATGGTAAAAAACAAATTTTATTTTATCTTTAGTTTATCAAGTTTATTATCTAGAGCCAAGCAGGCATAATAGCTATAGATACAGCTGCAAAAATTAATTTTTCCATTTTTTTAAGTTAAATAAAAAAAAATGTTTTGTTATTTGTAGAAATATTTGATATGACTTCCATAAATATTCTAATATTACTTCTCTTTCATTATATTTAATGTTGTACTTGTTTAAATAATAATAAATTATGTACTTAAGTAAGATATATAATAATCATTAGAATGAATTGTATAAAACAAAGTTTCGTTAAAAAAAAGAAATTTTAAATACATACAACAAAAAATAAACACATTCTATTTTAATAATAATATTTTCCAAAAATTAAAATTTACTATTTGCTTATCATTTGTTTATTGTTACGTGATTTTTCAAAAGATAACTTTTTAGATATTATTAAATAAAAAACTCTACAAAACTCTGAAACAGAGTAATTCATGTAGATTTAATAAATTCATTTACTTTTAATTTATTTATTATTTCGTTAAAATTATTTAAAAATATTATTTCAGCAAAAAGATAATTGAATAGAAAGTTATTTAATTTGTCATATCATCGTGACTCACTCTATACAACGTGATTTATTAAGTAGTGCCCATTATTTTGTTTAATAAATTTAAAAATAAAATGTGTTTATTAAAATTCATTTTATGTTTTAAATCATTGTAAATATAGAGTTTATTGATAGAAAAAATTATTCCAGAGAGTAGATTTTAGGGGTACTTTCGAAATTTAATATGGGAACCTATTATTATTTTAAAAAAATAATAGTAAAAATTTAAACTATTTAATAGAAAAAAGAACAAATATTTAGAATAGGTGGGAGCTGTGTAATGTTTAGCAAAACTCTATTTTTACCAAACACACAAATAAAAATTCTTTTACATTGCGCATCCCCCTCACCTATTATTGATAATTACAACAACTTAAAAAGTAATAATACAATATTGGTTATCGATAAGTCAACATTTATCCAGACCATTCTTTATTTTATTGTACAAAATAATTATGGGCTCTCGTTTAAATTTCAAATGTTACTTCTAAAATCAACTTTTAAAAATCATTTTTTCTTATAATAAACTTTAAAATTACAATGATTTATAATAATAAATGTAATTTTATTTAAACATTTTTATAAAATATTTGTATTATTTAATAAAACAATGTGGGTTAGTATGCTTATTGAATCATCCTGTATTAACGCAGTCCTCAAAGACCATATTACAATATAAAATTAATATAAATCCTACAAAATTAATCAGTTTTAAAATTAAAATATTTGTAGCTAGGATCCCTCTATTTTATTTGGTTATATAATTGTGTGCATATAATACATACAAGTTTTATAAAAAAATTTAAAAGTTAATAAAGTGGTTAATTCTTACTCTGTACGAATTTCTAGAATACTGATAGCTGGCTGGCTTCTTAATTTGATATTTTTTATTCGAAGTCATCTTTTTGTAACTGGATACTATTATGATAAATACTTGTAAGAATATTTAATTAATAATAAAACTTTTTTTATAATTTCTTTGAATACTATGAGAAATGCATTTACTGTTTGTTGCAGTGACAATGTAAAATATTATTGGCATAGGATCAACAAATGAAAACTATGTTAGTTTAAAGTTTATATAACCAATGTTATTTAAAATAATAATCACATAAATACTTAGGTTTTTATTGAACTTAAAATATTTTCTTATTTTAACAACATTAAAGCAGCTGAAATTGCATACACTAATTGGATCGTAAAATATCAGTAAAAGCTGTTTCATTTTGCACGTGTATCCATTTGTGTTCAATATGCTAATTGCATGAGGTCAACTGTTTTGGAATTAGTTTGATTTTGTTAAAAACCAGTTTTAAATAACGCAAATTGTAGATTTAACAAAAAGGATAAATAACGACTTAATAAAATTCTCCTCTATTCTTTAGAATTCAATATTTTTTGCGTCATATATTACTTATTTTGTATATCTCCTTATAATTAATTTACTTTATTTTATCCATTAGTTTTTTTATATTATTCAATAAGAAAGAGTAGTTAACTATAATTAGATGATTTCAATCAGCGTGAACTTCGATTTGATCAGGTAGCTCATCCAAAATGACTGATCCTTTACGTCAGGATTTGTGATCATAATGCAAAGGATGACATAAACGATCACAACATTGTAGGCTGCCGTAGCTTTTAATTAACTTATGTACAAACTAGTCGAAAAAGTGCAATCCATGATTCGAACTCCTTTTCAGCAAAGACAATGGCCTCGTTAAAAACTCTATAATACAATGTAATATACAATACGATAGTAACATAGTTAAAAGAGCTATAATATCCTACCAATTGATTAACTATTATTATTAGCTGTATACAATTTTGGCGCTAAGAGAACATAAAATAAGCCCAAAAATAAACAATCCAACACAGTGAGTTGATGTTACAATGAGAACAAGTCACAGCTGGAACAAGTATAGATGATATCTGACAGTGATTAAAATACGCTTAGATGCAAATATATAGATATTGTTTAATTTTTAAAAGAAATTGTTAAATTAAGCAACATCAATTCCTATTTTCTCAATTATATCTTAAATATATATATATATATTTTATGATTAAATATATAATGATTAATATTCAATATTTTATATTGCAATTGTAATTAGGCAATAATATAAAAAATGATCTAACTAAGAAAATGACTGGTTAATAACAACTTTTGAAAAAGTACTTCCGAATAATAAAAATAACATAACACACCTCCCCTCCATTCTATATCTTAAATAGTTTTGAATTTTTAATTAAAAAAAACTTTTTTATTTAATTTCACTTTATATTTAAAATAGTTCTAACTTTCGAAATATTGACTCTAAAAACTGATATGGAAAAATTATTTTTAAGTTTAAAAGTTAATTAAATATGTATGTAAACAAAAATAGCATGTTTTTTAATTACGGCGATCATTTACAAATAGACAAAAATCGTCCGAAAAATTATATTTTTAACCTATAATATATAAAAAAATGATTAATTTTAACATATGTTTGAGGCTTGGAGAATTTCCGAAACATTTTCAAAATTTAGGTTGAAAAAAATTCATTTTTATACATTTTGAATCTCTCTTGTAGCCAGGTAAAAAGACAGATTTTCAAAAAATGTATACCAAATGAATAGAAAATACCTAAAATAATTATAAAAAAAATTGTTTTGATTATTCATTTCTCAAAAAGTTATGACAGCTTTAAGAAAAATGAAGTTCAAAAATTCCAAAATGTATAGATTTAAAATAGTTTAACGTTTTTTGGGGGGATATTTCTTATATTTACAGAGAATGAGTGATATTTGTCTAATTTTAGGGCAACTAAATAAAATTTGTGATCGTTTGACGTATCTTTGAAAGAAATCGATCGTATGAAAGCTTAGAAAAAGTGGTAACAAACACAAAAAAAAAAAATTATCATAGTTAAAATTAATATCTTCAGAGCTTCGCATCGAAGCTAAAAAAATCCTTATCATCAAACACTATTGTTATGGTTTCTTTTTTGAAACAAAATTTATTGAATTCGATTTAAAGTCGACACGATTGTAATGTATTAATATTAATACAACGATAATAGATAATTTGTGCCAACCCTTAAATAGTACAATGTAAACAAAAAACAAAAAATATGCGACATTAATGCTTAAAGTATTAGAAAATTTAATTAATCAAATAATTAATTAATTTATGCTCTAACGAAAAAATTGTTTATTTGTAAACATTGAGTATAAATAGTATATTATTTATACTATTTAGGCTTCACATAAAATACACTAACTAGCATGGAAAAAAATGTTTTCAATTAAAACAACTTCAGTAAGAACCATTATAAACAGAAATCTGACAGTAATTAAAACCACTATCATAAAACAAAGTTTGTGCTAAAATATAGTTCGATTGTTCTAACTTTTGTTACTATGATTTCAGTATAAATTGAAATTTTAATTTATCATAAACGTATGATCCCAACCCTCTTTTCTAATATGTCTATTAGATGAATATTAAAATCTACAAAAATCTTACCTA